CGGAGCCTGGAGCGGCTGTGCGGCCGGCCGGAAGCGGCGCCCGGGACCGCGGAGCCTGAGCGGAGCCCCAGCGCGCACTCTGGTGAGTGCAGGCAGCCCCCGGCCGGCCTCGGGGCCCCTCGGCCCAGCGGGGCGCTGCTGCCCGGGCGTCTCCTGTGCGGTGCCGGGGGGAGGTAGCTTTTCTCCGTGGGCACCTGAGTCTGGAGCGCACTTCGCCGGCCTGGAGGGAAAGGGGACTCCGCCGGGTGCCCCCTGGGGCCCGACTGTGAGGGATGCCAAGGAAGCAGCGGGAGGCCCGCAGGGCAACCGGGCGGGCGGGTGACTCTGCCATGGTCCCAGGAGCCCACTCTGTGCCTGAGCGCACATGGTGAACACCTGTCTGCCTTGAGGGAGGGCTCTCACCTGGGGTGCCCGCTTACACTGGGGACCCCTGACCTGCGGCATGCCGGGTGCAGGTGGTTCTCAGTGGTGCAGATGAGAGTCAGGCCCCCCAGGCTGTGGGCCCTGGCTTTTGGGGATAGCAAGGGGGTAGGTGGGACTCCATCCAGGGCTGACACTCACGGCTTTGTGGGACCTCCTGTGGCTGGTGCCAGGCAGGGACAGATGGAACTCCTGGGGTGGATGACAGGCCCCTTGCTGGCTTCCAGTCCAGTTGGCAGGGGCGACAGGAGATGGCTGAATGGCCCCCTGTTTACCATTCCCCCCCCACCCTGGGTGCCTGCCTGGGGAACAGGCCCTGCATTATTGTGTGGGCCCCCCCAGCCTGCCCCGGGGTCCCCCAGATGCAGGCGGCAGCTGCTAGCCTTTTTGGGCCACCCATCAGCTCAGCTTGGACCTCTCCGCCAGCCCCATCACGTTCCTCAACTCTATGGCTGGCGCTTGGAGCAGCATCTACCTCGGGCTCAGCTGGCGTTGAGCTGAGCTAGCAGCCCCACACCCAGACTGGGCTCCCCCATGCAGGCTTCCCCTGCTTCCCCTGGGTAGTTACGAGCAGTACTGGACCAAGTGCAAGGCCAGGGTCATTCTCATGGCCGCACACAGGTGAGCTCAGCCACGGTATCTTGGACAACAGATGGGCTGGGGCATTGGAAGCCCTGGTGCCCTATGTGGTGGTGACTCAGTGGTTGCACCCCTCTAAGGGCTGAGAATGCGGCCAGTGCTCACCAGGGGGCAGCATCACACTGGGTGCCCCGCAGGCCTCAGGCCAACTGAAGCCCAGACAAAGGGTGTGACCTGTTTGCTCAGGAAGAGCTGGTTCTTGGTGCCAATGTTGGAAATCCAAAGCCCCAGCTCACCAGGAACAGAAAGTCTTCCCCCAACAGTCCCCAACCCCAGCCCCAAGATCTAGGCCTGCCTTCCTTCTCCCCGTCTGGGGGCTCGGTGTGCACCCCAGCCTGCCCAGGGCCCACAGATGCAGGCTGCCCAGGCCCCAAGCTTGGAGCCCCATCAGTGAAAGCTTCTAGCCTGAACCCCATAGGTGCAGGCTGCTTGGCCCCATAGGTGCAGGCCTCCTGAACCCTATAGGTGCGGGCTTCCCTGGACCCCACAGGTACAAGCTGCTAGCCCAGGACCGAGCAGGGGGCAGGGCTGCCTCCACCTTCCAGTCAGCTGTCCTGCTGAACATCCAGGGTGCTGCCAGCAGGAGCCCAGGGGCTACCCCTTGGACTTGAGTGCAGACCAGCCTGCGTGTTCTGGAGTGTTCCTGGGCCTGTGTCTTCTCTGCCCCCTCCTGGGGACAGGAGCTTGGCAGTGGGGACGTTCAGTGGCAGCTTGGGACCTGAACTTTGGGGCCTGCTTGGAGCCATTCTGCCTGGTTGGCTAGAGACTGGTGCAGCCACCTGGTGGAACTCCCCAATCTGCCCCTGGCATAGACTTGTATGAGGGCCTGAGTCTTGCCCCACCCTCTCACCTCTGTACCTGAGCCCCCAGGGGGCACGGCTCCTGAGGATGACCCTGGCACTGGGGTAGGGCTTGAGAGCCAGGAGGCAGGGCTCGCGTCGCTGGGGGAGTTGCACGTGTAGCCCCCACCCTTCAAGGGAGCCATAACACCTAGCATGATGTCACCCCTGTGGGTGGGTCCTCCAGGAGGCTGTTGCACAGGACCCCTGCTTCCTGGCCCCTGTATGTGGGTGTGATGTTGGTGCCCCAAGCACATCCTCCAGAGACCCCCCATTTGCCTGTACTAGCACACGGAGCTAACTTCATGCGGTCACCCTCCCACCCAGAAGAAGCTAGGTCTCCATAGCCCCCACTCCACATTCCACTTAGAGGGCCCCATGTACGAGGGGACAGGGCCAGAGGACCCAGAGCCTCTCATCGCCCTGCTGGTGCCCACACGGTGTGGACACTAAGGGTGCAGAAAGCAGCCAGGTGAAGCCCCCACTCTCCGGGCTGGTATGTGGGGGGCAAAGCAAACACAGGCCTCCTGAAGGAGTGTTAGGAGAGGTACTGGGGACCACACCCCAGTAGGCGCAGAGGTGGGACGTGGACCAGGCTGGTCTGAGGTCTGAGAGGAAGCTGAGGTGGGGATGGAGGCCACACAGGCTGTGGTGGTGTCCAGAGGCCGCAAGTCCAGACACCTGCCTGTGCTCGGCTGTACCGCCCTGACAATGAGACACATTACCAGGAGTTGTTGGGCGGCTCAGGACTGAGCAGGAATCCAGGCAGGTCCAGAGCAAGCCAGGCCCATGCCTCTCTGAACAGACCCAGTGGCCTGCGGAGCTGCGGAGGTGCATGTGGGGCACAGCCGGAGGGCCCTGCGTGTCCGTGGCGAGTATCGGAGGCACACCATCGCCAGTGGAGTGGACTGCGAGCTGGTGAGTGGTCTGCAGGGCCCTCCTCGCCTGGGACTAGACATGGTGCCCTAAGCTAGGATCTCCTGGGCCGCTGCAGAGCATGGGTTTTGGGGGAGCCAGAGGTGTTCACTGATGAGGCCTAAACAGCTCTCTCCCTAGATTGAGGCCATTTGAGGGGTGAGGTCTGATCAAGGTACCCCATAGGCCTATAAGTTCATGTGAATGATCAGAATTCCCAGGTGTATAGTAGAGCTGACAAGGGGCAAGGTTATGGTCATTACTTGGTCACAGCCA